CTTTAGCATAGTTGTGCTATAGCAAGAATGTCCATTTTAAACTAAAAAAAAGTTCAAGACAAAACCAACTGGACTTCATTTGTAACAAAAGACGTTTCGCTTCTCATCCAAGGATCTTTTTCAATTCAAAAGAACAGGGAGTGTGGGGATCGAGTTAGGCCTTATTTACATGGACACAGCAGGAGGAAACATAGGGTTTTTTTTTTATTTGAGGAAAATATCAGCGTTGACACTGACGGATTTTGTGTTATAAAGCTGAGGTAAGCTAGATACATATGCAGATTGTCCTCTCACTCCTCACAATAAAGGATCATTAGGGTCTTTGTTGGTCTGACTCGCAGAGGATCCACTCTGGTCACATGGATGAAATTCCGGAAAGATGTGAAAATAAATGGGTATCAATCCCAAAGCTGCATTTTAAGACACTCAGCTGTTCACCTACACCTCAAGGATAAGGGACACTCATCTGAGGACCAAAATGTTCACATTTTGGACCGAGAAGACAGATGGTTTGGAGTGGGTGGTGAAGGGAGCTATTTATGTGTAATGAGAGAAACCATCTTTAAACAGAGGAGGAGGTCTCAGATTTCAACTTTCAAAAACTTAAAATGCAGCTTTAGGACTGATACCCAGCCATTTTCACACCTATCAAGAATTTCATCCATTTTCTGTTCAGTGCCCTGAGATGACTTCTGTTGTGACTTGGCACTCTATAAATAAACTGAATTGAATTGACCAGAGTGGCTCCTCTGTGAGTCAGACTAACAAAGACCCTAACGATCCTCTATTGTGATGAGTGAGAGGACAATCTACATGTCTCTACCGTAATTCTCGGGCTAAAGAACGCACCTGTCTCTAAGCCGCACTTATGAATTATAAGATAAATCATAATTTTGTACATAAATAAGACGCTTCAGTTATTTAGCCGCAGGCATCCACCGTTCTTCATCAGGATCTGTGCTCCCAGCCTGCTCTTGCTGTGTGCAACTTTCTTGTTGTAGTACAAGAATCAGCCAGCACATGGCGTTTCACAGAATATACACTGCCCGGCCAAAAAAAATAAAAAATTGCCACCTGGATTTAACTAAGCAAATAGGTACGAACCTCCTATTGGATAATTACTGCATGGGAGATTATCTTTCAGCTGGTAGCAAGTTGTTTAACCCCAACTGGTGTAATGAGTTGCTTCTCATTTCTTAAACAACCACGTCGAATGACACATCGCGTAGTTGTGGAAAAGATGTCAGTCTGTTTGAGAAGGGTCAAATCATCGGCATGCATCAAGCAGAGAAAACGTCTAAGGAGATTGCAAAAACTACTAAAATTGGGTTAAGAACAGTCCAACACATTATTAAAAACTGGAAGGTTAGTGGGGACCCATCGTCTTCAAGGAAGAAATTTATAAGAAAAAAACCTGAATGATCATGATCGGCGATCACTTAAACGTTTGGTGAAATCAAATCGAAGAAAAACAACAGTAGTACTCAGGGCTATTTTTAATACAATTCAATTCAAATATACTTTATTAATCCCAAAGGGAAATTAATTGTTGTAGCTCATCTTGGTTTCATTAGTTGTTCTAGATGCTGAAGTCTTTGGGCAGGAAGGATCTCTTGTAGCAGTCCGTCCCACAGCGGATCCGAAGAAACTGGCTGCAGATGTCAATCCATCCACCCAGACCCAGCAGACCTCTCGGTCCTCTTGGGCAGCAGGACCGCCTCATTGTCAGGCAGAACTTCACCCTGAGTGATGGCCATTTCTCCCAGCAGCCTGCCAAGCCCCTTGTTGCCGCAGACTTAACTGCAAGTGCCGGGGATGATCTTAGTCCTCCCGCTGTCACAAGCTGTGTTTCTCGCTACCTCCAATATCTCTGTAGTCAGGCACTCGAGCACTGCCTCCAGGTAGACGGGAATGCATCCACGGCACCTCCTTTTCAACTCATTTGGGATTTGGGGCTGTAGTTGAAAATTGAGCTTTTCAGATGTTAATCAGCTGCTCCCAGTTGTCCCACCCTGTTATGGTTACGCATCATAACAAATGTCCAGAAGTAAAAAAAAAAAAAAATGTTTCAGTAAAAATTCTGCCAGCTGCACAGCATCTGATACCAGAGGAAGTAATCATCCGAAAAAAGCTATTTGCATTCAGAAAGAAAAAAAAAAATTAAAGTTTTCAAAAGCAAAATCTTAGAATGAATGTGAGAGGTACTCCAACATGCAGCCACCTTGAGTGGCGCAATTCTGGAATAATAGTGAAAGTAAGAGCATTTCCACACACACAATGTGAAAGGAACTCAAAGGATTGGGACTGAAAATCTGTGTAGCCTTAAGAAAACCACTAATCGGTGAGGCTAACCAGAAAAAAAGGCTTCAATTTGCCAGGGAGCATAAAGATTGGACTCTGGAGCAATGGAAGAAGGTCATGTGGTCTGATGAGTCCATATTGACCCTGTTCCAGAGGGATGGGTGCATCAGGGTAAGAAGAGAGGCAGGTGAAGTGATGCACCCATCATGCCTAGTGCCTAGTCATCAATGAAAGATCTTGGTGAAAAATGAATGCAACACTGGATGAAAATAGTTCTTGTGACATTGCAGAAACTTATCGAAACAATGCCACAGTGAATGCATGACGTAATCAAAGCTAAAGGCAGTCCAACAAAATATTAGTGTGACTTTTTTTTTTTGGGGGGGGGGGGGCAACTTTTTTGGGGGGCCAGACAGTGTAGCTGGCTTTCAACACATGCTCAGACTGCATGATCATCACGAGTATTAATGAAACTTCTCTCTCTGACTCATGGTTACAACCATTATACCTTCAAAATGAACACAATAACTATCTAAGCATAATCACTGGACAGAACAGCGCCAAACACCTACGTCACTGAAATTATTTAAAAATTATATACCGGTAAATATTATCCTCAAGTCTTATCGAGGTCATGTGACCGGAAATCAAATAGTACCGGTAAAATACAGTAAATATTCATTAAATTAGCACCATTGATTTTTATTGGCAAACACTTTTGTTAACAACTGCTGTTTTTAAATGTACTTTCTAAATAAATTTGACGTGAATTCTGCTCAGCAGAGCTCATATGATGAAATGGAGGAAGGAATGGGGAACAGCCCCCCCACCCTGTTGTCCCCTCCGTTCTGTGTGGAGCCTAAATGAGATATTGGTATTTAAACACATATTTACCACACAGAAAGATTTTTTTAAAACTTTTATTTAAATATGCATCAGTTTGACTGCTTTAAAAATAAATCTGACAAATTCTCCACTGCTTTTGAGCTCTCATGACTGACAGGGGAGGGGGAAGACCCCCTCTGTTGTTATCCGCTTTGTGTTCGGATGTGACTTTAAAATGAGATCCTGGTATTTAAATGCATATTTACCGACACAGAAATATGTCACACAGAAATAATTTTAAAGCTTTTATTCAAACAGGTACCAGACTTGACTGCTTTTGCGTCTCCAATCCTGACCATCCACACGTTGATGCAGCTTACGGGCTGCAGATGTTTCCTCCTCAACAGCTGATCTGTCGCTTTTAACATGAAAGCTGCATCATAAGAAATTCTCTGTGCGTTTTCTATTATCGCTGAACAAAAGAACAGGTCTGTGCATGAAGCATAAAATAAAGTAACAACATGGGAATGATCTGAAGTAATTAACGTCTATCTTGGGGGATGGTCCTGGAGAGTACCTCGTTGGTCATTCAGGTTTGACTTCTGGTCACATGATGACAGAGTGGGTGGAGTTATGGTTGGATATTTGAAACAATGAGCAAGAGGTTTGATATATCTGATTACTTGAGGGCATTCTCTCTGTGTCAGAAACACCTGCGCCCATGAGGGGTGGGGTGCTGGGAGGCACGAGTGCCCAAATGGAGTTTCCCTTCTCAAAAGGAAAATGTTAGTCAGCTGCAGGAAGTTACCAAGAGACGGCAGGAAGTCTTTCAAAATATAAAAATTTAACTTTTGGAAATTATGAAAAAATACATAAATAAGACGCTTCCGCATATAAACCGTGGGGTACAAAGTGTAAGAAAAATGTAGCGGCTTTTACACTGACAATTACAGTAGCTTACCTTAGCTTTATAACTCGATCACCACACTGCCTGTTGTTTGAATTCACAAAGCTCCTCAGATGAGAAGCGAAACGTCTTCAGTTACAAATGAAGTCCAGTTGTTTTTGTCTTAATCTTTTTTGAATTTACCATGTCCTGGATGACTGAGAATCTTCACCAGCATAGTCCTTTTAAAACCTGACCAGGGTCTTTTTGTGTGGAGTTGCAGGGTCTCTCTGTTCATGTGGTTTGTTTTTCCAAAACCTACGATTTCCTCAAACAGTTCAGAAATATTCAGGTTTGGTTAATAACTAAAGATTCAAAATTAGCCCTAAGATGGACTGGTAAACTATCCAGGGTGTACCCCCGTTCTGCTTAATGGCCACTGGAGATTGGAACCTGCTCCCCAAGGCCCAACAAGAGCATTAATTATTTATAGAAAATAGACGGTGGATGATTGTTTTGCTTCAGGCTGTTTTCAGTAAAATCCTTGAATATATTTTAAAAAATACCATTTTGCTATTATTAAAGTCCAGCATTTTGTTAATGCATCTTAAGTCCAATTTGTTGCCAGTTTTCAACAAAAAAGCAAGCCATTAGTCTTCTTTAAAGCTAAAATAAACATGAGCTCTTATTACCAGGCTGTTGAAAGCAGTGCTTGTGCTGGAGGAACCAAACCAAAAATGAAGTTTCAAAAAGTTTAATAAAATTACTCTATTTAATCTAAGAATTTTCTGACACCAAGAACTGATATCTGAATTTATTGACACGTGTCTGCTAACAGGCAGCCAAGAGAGTTTGCTGTGTTTGAACTGACAATGCTTCAAACTTGTGAAGTTAAAAAAAATTCCTCTGGAAAAATGAACGTCCTCCTAAAAAAACGGCTGAACGAAACCCTAAAACTAACATGAATATTCTCTTTGTTTTGCTACAGTGCCTCTGGAGCCAACATCGTTGCCATTGATAATAAAATTGAACAAGCAATGGTGAGTAATCAGCTTACTTTGTTCCCCCGGGAGTTTTTTCATTTTCCTCTTTTACAACATGAAGAGGGTGTAGAGTGGCATGAACAGATAAACGTGGTTAAAGGAATATTCTGGCCATTCTTACAATCTGAAAGTGGCTTTATTTGGGTCATTTGCAAGAGTGAGTTGCAACAGCAAGCTGTAACACTTCCTGTACAGCATGGGGGCACTTCTAATAGGAGTTTTTCAATAACTGCTGGGATATATAATATACTGAGAAAGTAGGTTAGCTCAAACTGTTGTGACTAGAGCTCGATCGATGTGGAAATTTTGGCTATCACCAATACTGATATTGGGAGGGGAAGCCGACTGCCGATAACTAATATAATGGCTGGACATTTTTTATCTTTGTCCACCCTCAAGAATGTAAGAAAACGGTGAGTGGAGCAGAGCTTGTTTATTTATCGCAGCTGTTGGCAACCATGAAGCTAAGCTAATCCAGATCCACGCTGTAGCTAGTCCCACAGTAGGTTTACAAATGGTGCAGTGGTCATAAAAACAGTCTTCCTAACGTGGGTTCACATTTTTCTATCCTCCACTATTCACCATAAAGTTATCAAGTGTGTTACAAAACTATACGTTAAACAAAGAAACACACTTCCTTGTTCATTGTTTAGTCAGTTTCGTATGATAAAGTCCTTCTTAGTATTGACCACAGCAGAGTTGATTTTTGTTTTGTAGAGAAGTAAAGATTTCAGACAAACAATGCATTTTGTTGAGGACAACAAAGATAACGTTACTAACACTGATATATTTTTACCTCTACGTTAGATTTATTGTTCTGGATAAAGTTTTACAAAGCAATAACCTATGTTAAATGCTAGCTTGCTAACTTGAGAGGCACATAGCTAATGACAAGCAGTTTGGAGGATTGAAGATAATTTATTTTTGTTGATTTATTTTACAGATCAATTAAAATAAACTTGCTCTGTTCAATAAAATATGTTACACAGTTCTGCTCCCTGCTTGTCTGTGCTGAATGTGAAAGTGAAACCTAAGTGAACAGCCATGACTTAAAAGTAGTCTTTATGCGTCCACTGCTGGATACATGTACAATTGCGGCTGCTTCACAGCATTTTAGGGGTGAAAATTAGAAACGCTTATATCTGCGAATAATGGGACAATTATCACTGATACCAGTACGTCCCCAAATGTCGATACTGGCCTAAATTCTCAACCCTTCCGATATATCGGTCAGGCTCTAGTTGGGACCATTGAAGGTACAGGAGAATCTACACACATCCCGTAGGGGTGCGCCGATAAATCGGCCCCAATTTCCTTAATTTTGGAAAATCGGCCGATACTTGCATGAGAAACCGGTTTTACTGTTTGGTTTTTGTTGTTTGTTTGTTTTAACAACAATTGTGTGAACTTATATTTCAGAGCACTGCCACTACCTCACGGCCAGTTAAAATAAGTTTGTATTGTTTCTAGGATATTGTTCCAGGGTATGTTTTTCAATAAAATAAGATTGGACAATTGAAGGTGCATTGTGACCTTAAAACACCTGAAAGTGTCGCTTATAAAACAAAATCGGTATCGGCAGGTCAGACTTTTTAGAAATCGGTGATCAGCCAGAAAACTGCAATCGGTGCACCTCTAACATCCCACCTTCTTCTATTCAGAATTTACAATAAGCCACATTTGAACATACGACAGTAATGTAAGAACAACACATCAACAACAATCAACACCCAAAGAAATCTTGCATGTATTTACAAGTTTACACCAAGGTTAGTGGTATTGACTAGAGGTGGGGCCACTTTCAGTGCAAATGTAATAGTTAAAAAAAACCACTTGCATAAACCACAGTGAACTGTTTAAGATTTAGTCAAGTGCTAATATAAAAATATTACATAAACACTAATCTGTAAACCTTTGCATCACAGTCAGAGGTTTGGTTCAGTAGGTGGGACGCTCGGTTCTGTTGACAGGGCGGGGCGCCCTGCTTGTATTATGGTAGGGGAAACACTGAGTTCCCAAAGAATCACAAACAAATTATAATTCACTATATTTTAAAGATGTAAAAAATAGATTTTAATATTTGCTTTAGCACAAACCGCAATAAAATTTGAGCTTCTAGTAATTTCAGGATGGCAGCAATCCACTCTTCGGCCAACCGTTCTCATCCTGTCAGACTTGAACCTTCTCCAAGAAGGAATATCTTTAAAAAATCTTGTTTAAAGTAGATCCTTTGTTTAAGGTTGTTCTTTATATTTAGTTTATTTATTTGTGTTTCAGATGAAGCATCCACTGAAAGCTCAGCAGCATCAAACATGTCTGCTGTGTGTTTATTTGCCGTACACCGTTGACCCGTGTTGTGTTCCTCAGGACCTGGTGAAAAGCCATCTGATGTATGCAGTGCGTGAGGAGGTGGAGGTCTTAAAGGAGCAGATCAAGGAGCTGTTTGAGAGGAACTCTGTCCTGGAGAGAGAGAACGCCGTGCTCAAGTCTCTGGCCAACAGCGAGCAGCTGTCTCAGCTGTCCTCCCAGGCGCCCACCGCTGCCCCCGCCGCCACGCCGTCGCAGCAAGGACTCAGCCCCCCTCAGCTCCAGCAGCAGCACCCCAAGCCCCAGCAGCTCCAGACTCCTCAGCCCCAGACTCAGCTGGACGCCGGACAGCAACCCAACGTCACCTCGGCTTGAAGTGCACCTGCCCTGCTGTGCACAGGACAGAAAACCAACAGGAGAGGAGCATCTTGTACAACTTGTCATAATTGGTGTCTGTGAAATTAAAAAGAAGAAAAAAACTTGTCCTTAGCCACCAGCTTGACCACAGAGTACAATGTGTGTGTGTGTGTGTGTGTGTGCGTGTGCGTGTGTGTAAGAGTGAGGGAGACTGAGCAGTGTGTGTGTGCATCTGTACCGTGGGCCTTTCCAGTGTTAATGCAATCATAGAGAGTGACAGAGAACTTGGAGGAAGTGTGGAGGAGAGAAGGAGCTTCTGGGTGAGTTGGTGGGAGGAGTGGGGCGTTGGTTTGATTTATTTTTTTTGGTGATGCCATCTATTCTAAACAACCCGAGCTGAACCAAGCTTCACAATCTGACCTGAGACCTGCTGAAACGGGCTGCAGACAGTTCTGAGTGTAACGGACAGACCGAGACGTGATTGTTGATAAAAGTGATTATTTTTTTAAAGACATAGCGTGGGTAGATGGGTCTTTTTAACCTGGTTGTTTCATGTTGTCATACAAGAAATGGGAACGTATTTTTTTTTCTCCCCCCCCCCCCCCCCGGAGCGTCACACCGCTGCCGTTACTTTCACATCAACTCTTGCATCTGTCGTTGGTTGAGTTCTACTGTCATAAGTGTTTTATTTATTACAGGGCTGCTACTTTGAAAACATGAACAATTGGTTGACCCGTGGCCCGATGACCCGTTTCCTTCTTTTTGTTTTTTACAGTGTTTTAACAGATCGGCCAAACTTCCCATACATCGCTCTGTGAAGAAACGTAGGCAAAAAATAATAATCTGACAAATGTTTAACACTAACTCTGATATTACGCTGCGATTGCCAATTCATTAGCTTGAGCCCAATTGAATGTAACTTTTTGTATAGTATAAAGTATTACCAGCCTTGACGGGCAACATCAGATGTTTATCAAGGGGGGGGGGGGGGCGGCTGTGTTGAAGAAAACCTAATTAGTTAATCTTAAAGCAATTTAGTATTCTCATACCCTCCTTGCATTTTGTTTTCTCCAGTGGTGGTGGGGGGGACGTGAAGCTGTGAAATCGTTCAACAAACAACGTACGTCAACCAAAGATGCGAAGCTGTGTAAATTGATTATTTTTGAAATGCACACATGTAATTTTTATTTTATTTTATTTTGTTCCTCCTTCACAAGAGATTTTTTTTGTTGCTGTTCGGCATGTTCTGCATGATCTGTAATCTTCAAACCACTTTCTTACCTCATTTTTATTCAGCACTCTTATTGTAAGATAGCCTGTGAACAGTGTAAATGGGGGGGGGGGGGGGGGTGTTGCTGAACAGCGTGTTGAAAATAAACTTAGTGTTATGGACACTAGTGGCAGAAAAATGAAGTGAGCCATGTTTTGTTCATTGAAATGGTGTTTGACTTTCATATGCCAATAGTTTTGTTACTTTGCAAATTTTAATGTATTTAAATAAAAGCAATATTCAGATTCCAGAGAGGCCTCTCTTTAAGCTCCTGAAACCAGTTTGTGTAGGAGGAATGTGTCGACCTAAAGACGCTCGTTACGACCTGCTGGAGTACAGCTGGTGGCAGAAGTGTTCGCCCCCTGTGGTTTTGTTTCACCTTCCAACCTGGAATTTAAATTGTAATGGTGTGAATGTTTATGAAGCATTCTCACTATTGTGATCCATTTTTCTTCAGTACGATTTTCAGCATCTTTTTTCTTGTTCCACAATTTTTGTGCCATTTCAGCAATTCAAAAATCAAAATCCAACATTTTTCAGTCAGGTCATCTGGACAGTTTCTTTTTTTTTTTTTGTGCTGAAACGTTTCGCCTTCGATCCAGAAGGCTTCATCAGTCAAGGAAACGCACAACAAAACGGATTCTTCCCCCAACAGCTTACTCCAAAAGTGGAACAAACCAGTTATGTTGGTGCTAAGATGGTCTCTTTGTCATGCCCCCTCCTCCAAAAATAAATAAAATTTTCAGCTCTTTCAGGACAATCCTGCTATGACTTTTGGTATTGGTCCAACTTCAACTTTTTTAAATATTTAGACTTTTCTGACATTTTTTTCCTCATAAGAAATGAACTGAGCTCATTTTACATCCTTCAAATCTTTAGATCGGTTCACAACCTTTCACTGCTCTTTCACATTTTGTTCTGATTCAGATTCTTTGTGCAAATTAAAAAAAAAAAATCTGCAACGTTCAGCTAATTTCAGCTGTTTTGTGCTCCTTTCAGATTCTTTCTGCTAACTACAACATTTCCGTACGTCTTCTAACTTCTTTCTGCAAATTTTAGCTTGTTTTACATTTTCAGCTAACTTTTTAGCTAATTTTATCTGTTTTCAGATAAATCCAAGTTTTTTTTATTATTTCTGCTAGTTGTTTTTCTCCAGGTACTCCAGTTTCCTCTCACAGACCAAAAACATGCATGTTAGGCTGATTGGTAACTCTAAATTGTCTCTAGGTGTGAGTGAGAGAGTGAATGGTTGGTTGTCTCTGTGTCCCTGTGATGGACTGGAGACATGTACAGGATGTACCCCTTCCCTTACACAGTGATTGCTGAACATGGGCACTGGCGACCCCCAAAATGGAAGAAGCGGGTAAAAGATAATGGATGGATGGTTTCAACTTTTCTGCTATTTCAACTACCATTTAGCTGTTTTTGTGCTGAATTTAGCTTTTTCAGCGAATTCCACATTTTTGCGCTCATTTTCGCTCCTTCCACTACCTTTGGTAGTTTTCTTTCTGCCCTTTCAGCTACTTTTAGCTAATATCAACTTTGTTTTTTTTTTTGCAGGTTTCCTATTTTTTTTGCCAAGTTCTGTTTATTTAAACCAAATTCACCAAATGTGTTTTCTGCTTTCTTCTGCTAACTTTGTCTTGTTCTTCAATTTCAGCTACATTTCAACATGGTTTTAGCTAATTTCAGCTGTTTTTCAGCAAGTTCTTCTGCAATAAGCGTTCACACTGCAGGAAATGCAACTTCTCTATATGAAGGAACCACCTGTTTAGACTTCTGACCAACATTCATCATTCCCGCAACTGCTGAAGATTTTTAGAAATTTTTATTACAGGCAATAAATACAGAAGACCCTTCAAATTAAATGTGTGTGTGTGTGTGGGGGGGGGGGACTTCAATTATTTCTGAGAACAATGAATGGTTTGCATAATTCTCTTCAGAAACCATGTGGATGTTTGATCACAGCGTATTTCCACATTCTAATATACACTTCTTAATAGTGCAGGCTGCCACCTACACAGACATCATGAAGGCCAAGGAACTCTACAAAAGTCAGAGAAAGTTGTCAGCAGGGTAAGGTTATTTTTCTTTAAAATCTCAAACCCTGAACGTCCCACGCACCATTAAAGCCATTACTGCCACAGCCAACCAGCCAAGAGAGGGTTCATCAAAGTTCAGAGCAGACGAGGAGAGCTGTGATTAAAGAAGTAACCAAGACAACCTCATGCATGCTCAATAGTCCAGGTAGAAAAATCTAAAAAAGTTAAGTCTGGTCCTCTGGACGGGTTCAAACAACAAAAAGTAACCAAGGCGACCTCCATGGAGCAGGAGAGCTTTTCTGCAGAGACGGGAGGAGGTGTCCACAGGCTCGAGCTGCAGTCAGGCTTTGTAGAAAAGTGGAATGGGAAAAGTCCCAAGTCATTGGAGAACCCTTAACCACGTAAAAGATGCTGTGATCAATGGAGACTATAATTCATCTTTTTGACCAATAAGCTGTCTGATGTCCACCTGACACCACCATAATGACAGCATTGAAGCATGGTTGTGGCAGCATCATGCTGTGAAGGTTTCCAGCAGCAGGAACTGAGGTCAGAGTTGAAGATGAGACTGAGATGTTTAGCAGGACAAGGACCCTAAACACACGGCTGAAGCAACACACTGGTTGAAGGAGAACTCCAAGGTCCTAGAATGGTCCAACAGTTTGAAGGATTTAAAGTTTGTTGGACACCAGTGGCACGGTGGATCAGCTGGTAGAGCTGGCAATAGCTCTACTGTTGTACTCTGTTGATTGCGAGATAGTCGCAGGTTCAAATCCCGGCCCGGGACTTGTCAGGGTGGAGTTTGCATGTTCTCTCTGTGCATGCGTTTCCTCCCACAGACCGAAAACATGCATGTTAGTCTGATTGATAACTGAATTGTCCCTAAGTGTGAGTGAGAGTCAATGGTTGTTTGTCTCTGTGTGTCCCTGTGATGGACTGGAGACCTGTCCAGGGTGTCCACCCCACCTCTCACACAGTGATGGCTGGACATGAGCACCAGTGACCCGTGACCTGAACAAGGAGGAAGCAGGTAAAAGATGGACACAAGCAGCACCTTTCCAACCTGAAGGAGCTGCAGCACTTTGGTCTTAAAGGACTGAAGGTCCTGCGGCTGGATGGACCAAGATCTTCAAGACTCGCTGCTTCACCTGCTGGATCCACAAAGCATCGACTTTAGGTGGTGGAGATTATGAACATCTGCACCAGTTCTTTGTTCTACCTTATTAGAAATTAAACCAGTTTGTATCCATCCTGATTCCTGCTCAATAATCCAGGGATCATTTCTGTGAGCCACAACAAACTCAGTCTTATAAATAGCACATTCACATGGTGGGTCAACCAGTCTGATGGTGAGAAGATGGTTTCTGGACGTTTGTATACATTTAAACAACAACTCTATAAACTCTAGGTTGTAGTGCAGTCACTCCTGAGGCAGAGTCAGCTTCAGACCCACTTCTTATTGATGCTTTATAAGAACAAAAAATTAGAAACTTTATTTGAATTGCAAAAAAAAACCAACCACCGTGTCCAAAAAAAACGTGTTAAAGACACACGCCATCTTTTCTGAAAAGAAATAGTTTTGATTCGTGTTCATAGTGTAACCAATAACCAAGTCCAGAAGGAGAGAAATGAAGTGAGGAGGAATGAACATCCACAACACAAACAGTCGAGCACAATGACATGGACAACAAGCAGGACTCCTTCCACAGGTCCCTCAGCAGAGCAGAGCGCATACGTCCACTGATGGGCTGCTTCCTGTGACGGCAGCAGGTCGGCACAGCACCCCACCCCCCCCCCCCCCCCCATCAGGTGGTTCACTGTGAGGCTCTGAACAGGACAGAGGAACTCCTCTGCGTCATCTAACCCACAGTGACAAATCTGGTGCCTTTGCTGCTGTGCGCCGTGGCCGTGCGCTGGTCCTTCAGGATACGAAACCGTTCGTTCAAAGTCATGGACGTTTGCTGTGGGAGGAGTCAGAGCGTTACCGGCATCAAACCACTGCACAACAGGGCAGAAAGCTACAGCAGCGCACTCACTGGTTTGCCAACACTGTTGATGTCAAACTGCAGAGGCACTCCTTTGGGGATTTTCTTCTCTTCATTTTCCACCTTAATGGGGTTGGAGGCGACGGGCGGCGGGTGGAGAGTCCAAGCAGTCGCAGGCCTAAACACAAGTTAACCACAGAGGTTAGGAGAAGTGGGTCCATCTGAAACCAGCGTGCACTGAATGCTTACTCAGGCTGGGTCCTCGCTGACGGGTTGTTGATGGAGACAGTCAAAATCCCACTGCTGGTTGTTGGTGTGCGCCACCTAGTGGACAAACAGACAACGTGTCTCCTGTTTACAGTGGATTAGTGTCATACAACCTGGAAATAAAGAGTTCAGGTCCGACTCTAAGAACTTGACAGAAAATACTCCAGATCAACAGTTAAATGTGACGAAACTAGATTTAAATTCATCAAAATCAAAAAAGGTGGTGTGCGCATGTGTGGTTCACCCCCCCACCCCCACCCATTTGAAGCTCCAACCTTCAGAAAACTGGTTCAGTATGATCCACCTGAGGGGAACTGACTTTAGGTAGTGTACCAGTAGTTTTAAGCAGCAAGGGCACCCATCCAAGGAGCTTCCTACACTTCTTTTTACGTTACAACTTTTTAATAAATAAAAAAAATTCACATGACGTTTGGACACAGTTCCATTTTTTAAGGCATTTTGAATATTGACATGTGCCTATTTGAAGCAGCAGTAATAAAAGTCATCAATCAATGCTGCATTTAGAGAAACTTCCTACAAAGTTAAGACGACGTACAGACCAAGGCTGGGTTATATAAAAAAAATAAAAAATACCCCAACCCTGAACGTCCAGCTTTACAATAATATAAATTCTTTGTTACCACCGCTAACCTGCCAAGAGAGACTTCCTGACTGGGGAGTGAGGAACTGTTCAGAGAAGCAACCAAAAGACCAAAGATAACCCTGACAGGCAGCACATCTGCAGAGATGAGAGATTTTTTTTTATCACCGTGAACTTGGTGCTCAGGCAGCAAAGGCTCAGAGGATCTTTCATCATTTGAAAAGGTATCTGTATGTGTGGCCTTATAAAGTGTGCAAATCTGATCGTGTGCTTAAATCAGATCTAAATGTCTCTACTAGTTATGCATATTTCATGTTTATTCTTATTATATATTTAAAAGATCACGTCAGCCTCATGAGTGAGGACTCTACAAAGTTGGGCTTCATGGAAGCGTGCACAGAAAAGAGACATTAGTAAACAGAGCAGACTGTTGGTAATTTACCATAAAAACTAGTGGAGGTTCATAAAACAGCAGGAAGAAGCTGCTGTGGTCAGATGAAAGTACTATACAAGCTTCAGGAAGAACCCACGTCTGGTGTGGACCTAATAGGTTCCCACAGTAAAGCACGGTGGAGGCAGAATCCTGATATGGGATTGTATTTCATGGACGTTTGCTCACATATTACCTCAACTACAGCCCCAAATTCCAAATGAGTTGAAAAGGAGGTGCCATGGATGCATTTCCATCTACCTGGAGGTGGTGCTCGAGTGCCTGACAGCCGAGATTTTGGAGGTAGCGGGAAATGTGGCTCATGTCAGAGGGAAGACCAAGATCATACCCTGGCACCTGCAGTTTTGTCAGCAATGACAAGGGGCTCGTCAGGCTGCTGTGAGAAATAGCCATCGCTCGGGGAAGAGTTCTGCCTGGCATTCAGGTGGTCCTGCCACCCAAGAGGACCAAGAGGTCTGCTGGGTCTGGGTGGAAGGATTTGCATCTGCAACTCATGTCCCTCAGCACCTACAGTTGTCTGTCCGCAGCTATGAGGAGCTCGGCAGACTTCTGGGAGGAGTGGCCATCGCTCTGGGAGGAGTTCTGCCCAGCATTCAAGCGGTCCTACTGTCCAGGGGAACCAGGAGGCCAGCCGAGTCTGGGTGGACGGATCGGACGGCATCTGCAGCCAGTTTCTTAGGATCCACTGTGGGATGGACCTTTACAAGAGATCCTTCCTGTCTACAGCATCAGCATCTATAACATCTCTTAATGAAATGAGGATAACGAGTTACAACAACAAAATAATTTCCCTCTGGGATTAATAAAGTATTTTTGAATTGAATTGAATTGTATTTTAACATTAGGGACTGGGAAACTGGTTAAAGTTAAAGGAAAGATGGATGGAGCAACATATAGAGAAATACTTCAGAAGTGAGCATCCTTGAACAGCTCACTTTCCTTCACATCCCACATGAATGTCAGCACGTCTCGTCTCCACCTACTCCATATTAAACGTGTCCGTCCTCCTGCCCCACTGCCATCCTTGTCCACAGTCTTGTAACTTCTAGGGTTGGCTAAAGCAATTCCCTTCTTTTTGGCCTCCCCCACAAGTCAGAACCAGTTCCTGCTGCTCACGCCATCACTCCAACCTCCTATAACCACGTCACCTTTGCCTCGCTGCTTCACTGGCTCCTGGTAAACTCTGACATGTTCAAAATGTCTTCTTGACACAAATGCATCCACAGTCCCACCTCTACATATTTATATGATCTTCTGCATACGGCTACCTCCTTCCACTCCCTCAGATCTGACCCCGCCCCCACCCCAAACGCCTCACCACCATGGGGAGCAGGGCATTCAGTGGCTCTGCTACCCGACTTTAGAAGTTATTACACTCTGAAAAACAAACACTACCAACATCTCTCACTGTCCAAAACTAGTCGTGAAGCTCATCTCTTTACATCAGCTTATTTCTCTTCATTTACTCAGGTGAACCCTTTTTTACTGATAAAAACATTTATTAGTATTATTATGATGATGAAAAGATAGTTGACAGTTTCAAATAGTTACATTCCACCACCACAAATAAAGCATTACATTAAATCAGGCGTCTGGACACCACAAACTAAAACTCTGAGACTTACTGGTGTGTTTTCTCTGGGGAGGTGTGGGGACTGGGCTTCTGCACCTGAGCTTGTATCTGCAAACCACACACAGTCAATGTTTGGTACTGACAGTTCAAGGAGCAGCTTAAGTCCTTCAACAACAAGCACCTTGAGCCCTCTGTGGAACAGGAACGTGGCCTGGCGTGCCTCCCTCTGACTCTGCTGGACAGGCGGCAGCGGTCTGTGGGAACAGATTTGAAAAAGAATAAGCTTACGAAATGGTCCTGATTTTGGTGTATCATTTGTTGCTAAAGCTGCGCCAGTTCATGTGTGTGATCTTGCAGGGTGTATAAGGTGTTCTCACCGCCGGCGCAGCTGAAAGGGTCTCCTGGCTGACGTTCCATTCTGGCCTCTCTGCGGATCGGGCTGATGGTACAGACGTCTCTGCAACTCCGGTCTCCTGTACTGAACCTCGGGGCGCTGACTGAAGGGCCTAGCTTTCTGTCGCGGCTTCTGTTTAAGGATTTGAGACACATCAACAATCTGTTTATTACATGTTGAACGTAGAACAAGTTAAAACAGTAAAGAAAAACACTGCCTCTAGGCATCCTTTTTAAAATCAGCATTTACATCACAGCTATCCTCAACAAAGGTAAAGCTTCTTTTTAACGCCAGTCTCATTAACTGATGATGTAATCCGTTACAAACTTCAAGAGTTGGAGCGTTTGATTTAATGCACTGTTTTTTTTTTTTTAATGAACCGATGTGAACAGTAACAGTGAAGACAGAATTAAACCATACTGTACATATTTTCTACACAAACCTGTAAACTATGAGCTCAATGTAAGTGTATGGAATAAGTATTTTGTCCTCTGCTCACACTGTGATATCAAGGGTACAATCACAAGCATGCGCTACTAATATCAACTCAACAAGGTCCCTTAAGTTCAGTGGTTTGGAAAGAAAACGATTTCCATCGTGCACCTTCTGCATTAAGTGTTGCCTTTGTCGCATGTGAGAAGAAACTCTTCTGCTGTGAAGCAGAAGTGTGGAACAAGACTGTTTTCTTTCACAAAACTCGTCAGTCCAGGACTGAGACACCTCCTGGCTGCCTCAGTGCAACTTTTAAATGCATTGAGGTGTTGAGGGGGTTGAAGCCAGCCCACCCCTGGTACACCTCTGTGCTGCGGCGCAAGGCAGTCACAGAGGCATAACAGCCGACATGTCAGGCAGTACGCCAGTGCCCCGGCTCAATGATGTGATAAACTGATTGTATGTGGTCGGTGTGACCATCTGGTTGCAGGACTAAACAACAAACTGATTTATTACAAAGATCGACGATTGCCTCATAGCACCTTCGTAGTCGGTTTAAAAAAAAATAGTTAACCACAAAGAGAACTGCTAAAGTGAATTTGTCATGTTTTAAAAACAACAGAAGGGAGACATTTGTCCCACATTGAACACATCAGCCTCCACATCAGCACAGCTGAGTTCTGCTCCACATCTGGCTCCACACGGCCCGCTTCACTTGTAAAAACACATCTGTGCGTGATGTGGCCGGCTCCATTTCTAATTTAAGAACGGCCAGAAGATGGACTGGTCTGTGGGGCCATTTTACAAAACTGTTTTATGAAAGCGCATTACGTGTAAACAAGGGAATCTTCCCTAACTCAGAAAGAAAGACCCATCCTTTCAAGGAAAACTCTGACATTATTGAGGTTACCTGTGTGAACCTTTCTGTTAGTTTGGGTCAAACGTTTATCAAAACAGTAAAACATGACAAGGGAAGAAGGGAAGCACAGAGACAAAAAAATGACAGAAGAAAGTCGACTGTGAAAATCCAAACGACTCTGGTGTTTGTGTCCGTCCAGTCCTTCAGTACCTGGTTTCTGTTGAGCGTTGCGGCCCGTTTCAGCAGGACAGCTGGTCTCTTGGCTGCCAGTCCTGTGATGACCCCTTGACCCCGCCGTCGACCCAGCAGAGGAGGAAACCTTCTGCTTCTTAATTTAGCTGCTCCTCCTAGGGGTACGCCACCTCCTGGTAGGAATAATTTCACCACCTGAGACACACGAACAGTTTAAAGCCAGCTCGTTGCTTTTCAAAGCGCCTACCTCTCTGAGCTGCTGTCCTGGGGGCACCTCCCGTTCCTGGTCCCAAACGGACTTTCTTCTTGAATGGTCGGCGGTTCACACCGGCTCGTCTCCTCTTGAACTGTTTTTCTTTCTTGTTCAAGCGAATGATGTCATCTGTTAAAGTTAGCACACGGCTTGTTATGCCAGAGCCACAAACGGAGATTTGTCCAGATTCCCCAACTACGTACTACATTCAGTCTAGCGATGCTACTGACAAGTCACCTGTCAAGTCTTAGCTCGTGTTGTTAGCCACTTGTGGCTAACAACACGAGCTAAGACTATTTTAGTAACGTTGTCATTTTAAGAATCTTACCCAAGGACATGTCCACTTTATCAGGAATCGCTGTCGTTTTCACTCGACCTGCTGTGAAATCACCGTTATTCATAATTTTAATCTATGACAAAACGACAATAAAACAAGTCAGCAGCAGTTTCAACACTGATTACGCTACAACACAGTCCACCGCTAATATTTCTTCTTCAGTGGCGCAGTTTCACAGCAGCTGGATACCTACTAGTCACGTTACCGCCCCCTGCTGGCTGCATCCGCACATTGCTGCATCTACTAGTCACGTTACCGCCCCCTGCTGGCTGCATCCGCACATTGCTGCACCTACTAGTCATGTTACCGCCCCCTGCTGGCTGCATCCTCACATTGCTGCACCTACTAGTCACGTTACCGCCCCCTGCTGGCTGCATCTGCACATTGCTTTTTTTTTTTTTTTTTTTTGTTTGTTTTTTTTATTTATTTATTTATTTATTTTTTTATTAAAGATTTTAATCACACATTACAAACATCTGTTTGCCAGGGGTATAGATATTAATGTAAAAGAGATAATATTCTAGTACAAAACATAAAAAACCATGAAATTATATTTACAATTTATACAGAGTTTAAATTCACAATTTATACAGAGTTTAAATTCACATTAAGCTTTTCCAGAGTTGAGATGGTTTTCATTGCCTTTTGGTTTTCCAGTCCATTAATTGAGGTGATGTATTGAAGAAGTTCTTTGCTGAAATGGGTTATGTTTGGTTTGGAGTTGGACCATTTTTTCTTGTGAATGTGAAACTTTCCCAGGAGAAGTAGAACTGCAAGGAAAATTTAAAGGGAAAATTTTAAAATTTGAAACAGATACTGAAGGCCGTTGGATTACGCTTTTAACTGAAACTAATCAGTCACTTTTTTTAATCATCAACATATATGGCTACAATAACAAACAAGACAACAAGCAGTTATTTTTGACCTTAGAAGCCAAAATTGAACAAACATTACTCTCATTTCCTACTGCTAAAATTATATGGGGAGGAGATTTTAACAATGTGATGAATGATAATCTGGACAGATTGCCCTCAAAGAATCAAACAACAACTGAATTACATCATATCTGTGACAGATTAGGACTTATTGATATTTGGAGATCTAAAAATTTGGATAAAACTTCCTACACATGGAACAACAAAGACAGAACTCAACAGTCACGCATAGATTTTTGGCTTATTTCCTCAGATTTAGAAGACAACGTGACCGATGCCTCTATTGAACCAACAATACTGACAGATCACAAAGCTATCACAATTAAAATAGATGCAAACACTGACAGACATGGTCACAATAAAGACTACTGGAAATTAAATAACTCCTTATTAAAAATGAAGAATTTAAAACTGAAGTAATTAAACTTATTAATAAATATTGGACTCAAGCAAATTTAACAAAATACTTTTGTAAAAACTGGGAACTATTTAAATTTGAAATTAAAAAAATGGCAATTAGAATAGGCAAAAAACTTGCCCAAAAGAAAAAAGAAAAAGAATCCCAAATAATAGATGCAATTTTAAGAATATCAGAAAAAACAGATATATCTGAAGAGGACTCCAAAGAACTTTCAACACTACAACTAGAACTGGATCAGCTCTATGAGGACAAAGCCAGAGGAGCTTTTGTGAGGTCCAGAAAAAAATGGTTAGAACAAGGAGAAAAGTGCTCCAAATATTTTTTCAACCTGGAGAAGAGAAACTTTGAACAATCATTTATTGGAAAGCTTAAAATTAACAATGTGATTTGTGATAATGAGCAAGTTATTTCAAACTATGTTTCAAACTTTTATCAAAACTTATACTCAGAAAATTTAGAAGATGAAGAAAGAATGGACGCATTTCTAAGAGAATATGAAATGGATACCATCAAGGTTGATGATGACTTTAAAAGAGATTGTGATAAAGAAATTAATCTAAAGGAAGTTCAGGACTCTATATGCTCTCTTAAGGATAATAAATCCCCTGGCAACGATGGCATAAGTAGTGAATTCTATAAACAGTTTGCAGGAGAACTGGCCCCTTTTTAAAAAAATATGTTTGAAGAGTCAATACTGAGAGGTGAATTAGCCCCAACTCTCCAGCAAGGATTGATTAAGCTCATCCCTAAACCCAAAAAAGATCATTTGAGTATTGAAAACTGGAGACCAATTAGTCTTTTAAACAATGACGCTAAAATATACGCAGTTATCTTTGCCAAGCGACTGAAATTAGGTTTAAATGATATTATTAGTGAAGAACAATCTGGATTTATGCCTGGAAGAAACATTAGCAACAATATTCGTCTAATATTGGACATGATTGACTACAATGATTTTATTCCTGATGAAAGCTTTATTCTGTTTATCGACTTCTACAAAGCGTTTGATACCATAAGTCATAAATTTATGTTCAAGTCTATTAAACATTTTGGATTTGGAGATTTTTTTTCCAAAGCTATTAATACCCTGTACCAGGGCTGTAACAGCTCGGTCAAGCTGGCACATGGGACAACGAGAAGGTTTAATATCAATCGAGGTATCAGACAAGGATGCCCTCTAAGCCCATTCTTATTTCTTCTGGTTACACAAATTATGTCTATACATGTAAAAAAAGGTCAATTCCAAGGCATCTTAACTCTAGATAGACACTTCACGTTATCACAGCTGGCCGATGATACTGCGTTATTTATCGCTAATGTAAATGAAGTGAGGAATGCAGTTGACTGTATCCAGGAATTCTCTTCAGTATCAGGTCTAAAAATGAATCTTAATAAATCTGTTCTGTTCCCACTAAAAGACTGCACACTTTCTGAAATTAATGATATTCCTGTCAAAGAGCAATTTACATACTTAGGAGTGAATATTGAAAATAATCAAAATTTGCGTAGCAGCTCAAACTTTGGCCCTATTATACAACAAATAACAACAAAATTTAACATGTGGCTAATGAGGGACCTGTCATCTGCACATTGCTGCACCTACTAGTCACGTTACCGCCCCCTGCTGGCTGCATCCGCATATTGCCGAACTTTCTGTTTTGTAGGACGCTGCGTCTGATGCATTTTTTTTCAGTTAATAAAGTAGAATTATGAAACTAAACCAATGATTTGTTTACAGGGTATAGATCTCAATGGGCTAAATTTAAAAAACACAAAATGCAACAACAAGTTTTAAGACAACATTAAATAAAAAAACAATTTAAAATGGTCTGGTAAAAAGGAATTTTTACAAGTTTTATGATAAGAAGGAGATAATTAAAATAATGACAAAATATGTGGGTTTTCTTCTTCAGCCTAAATATAAAGAATTACATTTCAAAACTCTGAATAATAATATCAAATTAATTGATTAACATATTTTAAATTTAATGTGATAATTGTTATATAAACCTGAAACAGCAGAACATATGTTTTATTTCTGTCAATCTGTGAACACGTTATGGAAATCCCTTTATGATCTTCTGTCCATTATACTCCTTCTCTCCTCAGAATGTTTTATATGGATATGTATCCGAAAATAAAAATGTTGAATAGCCTATCTTATTAATAACATTATTTTAATCTTGAAATTTTATATACATTAGATGTAGCAGATTTGAGCCATTATATAGTCTGTATAAAAAGAACAAAACTTTCAGTGTTAAATAAAACGCAAGCACAAAAGCTCTATCACCTTTTTCAGCTAATATAGCCCTCTGACAAATTGTTTTAGTGGATACTTTTATTCAAATATCTTCGTTTTTTATATATATATTTCTCTGTGTTTGATAATGTTACTTAGTTTTAAAAATGTTCTGAGTAATATGTTAACTTGTTTCTGCTAATGTTGCCCTTAGGGGCTATGACGGAGGATTTTTTTTTTTTTACATGTTTATTTGTATCATTTTGTTGTTTGAAATTGTCATTTGCTTTTGGTTCTCTAAATAAAGTCTAAAAAACAAAGACAAAAAAAAAAAAAATCCTCAATGTATCGCGCATGCGCTTTGAAGACCTTGGAAAGGATCTTTGGGAAATGTAGTTCAAATTAGCGAAACCGGCGTTACAAAACAGCATCCTCGTGCTCATGTAACTGGTTGTGTAAAGAGGAGTTGGTCGTATTATTCCGGGCTGTTCTGTTGCCTCTTTGTTTGAATTATATGTATTTTTCCTGAACTGCACTTATTAAGGCGGTTAAACGTGAAAACCTGTCGCGCTGTATGCTGCTCTGTTTTCCAACGAGGTACGTGTTTGCTAGTGTAGCTAACCTTCCTGTTCACTTTGGTGTTTATGAAACGTTCACTGTTGAGATCCGTTTCTCTTCAGTACGTTTTTCGACATCTTTCTCATCCCGCAGTTTTCAAGCTATTTCAACAAATCATATGTCAAACTGTTCTGCTCTTTCAGCACAATCCTGCTGTGACTTTGGTATTGGTGCAACTTTAGCTTTTAGAAAATATTTAGCCTTTTCTGCACCGTGCCCTGTTTTGTCTCATGGAAAATGAATTGAGCTCATTTTACATCCTTCAAAGCTTTAGCTCTGTTTACTGCCTCTTTCACATTTTGTTCTGCTTCACATTCTTTCAGCTTCCTTGTGCAAATTTATTGTTCAGCCACTTTCAGCTAATTTCAGCTGTTTTGTCAGCAATTTTGTGTTTCTTTCAGATTCTTTCTGCTAACTACAACATTTTTGTGCTTCTAACTTCTTTCTGATAATTTCACCTTTTATGATAATTTCAGCTAATTTCTGCAAGTTTAAGCATATTCTGCTATTTCAGCTACTATTTAGCTGTTTTATGTTAATTTTAACTTTTTTTGGCTAATCACACTTTTTTTTTTTTTTGCATCATTTCAACGTTTTTCAGCATAAATCAGCAAAAATGTGCCGTCTCCACTTTCTTCTGGTAATTTAAGTTTATTTCTGCTTTTTTTAAAACTATCTTAAAGGTGGTTTTTTTTTTGTGGCTAATTCCAACTTTTTTCATATAATTTCCACTTTTTTCTTCTAGTTTCTGCTTCTTTCAACCTAATTGGGCAAATGTGTTCGTTCTTCTTTTTTCTGCTAATTTAAGCTTCTTCTGCCTTTTTCAGTTACATTTTTAGCATTTCATAACTAATTTGAGATGTTTTCAAATAAATTCAAGTTTTTTTCATGGTAATTTCTGCTACTTTCAGCCTAATCAACTATTTTAAGCTAATTTCCTTTCAGCTTTTTTCTGCCCTTTCAGCTTCTATTTAGCTTTTTTGATGCTAATTTTAGCTTTTTTGGCTAATTTCACATTTTCTGAGCTCATTTCAGTTATTTCTGCTTCCTTCTGGTAGTTTAAGCTTCTTTCTGCCTTTTTAAGCTAATTTTTGCTAATTTCATCCTTTTTTAGCCAATTTCCTAATTTTGAGCTAATTTCTGATTTATTTAAACCTAATTCAACAAATATGTGTCCTTTCTGCTTTCTTCAGCTAATTTAGGCTTGTTCTTCCATTTTAAAATGTTTTTAGCTAATCTCAGCTGTTGTTCAGCAAGTTCTTCAGCAATAAGCATTCACACTGCATTTTTGCAGGAAATGTAATTTCTCTAGTTTTGTATGTCCTCTGCATTTTGCAGCAGTTTTCTTTTGGCCACGAGGTGTAAAAGTTTCTTTGTGGTTTCCTGCAGCTCGTCTCTGTTCTCGGCAGTTCCTCAGCGGCTGCAGCCGAAGTGCACCGTCCTTCTACTGAACCAGGGGCTCGGACCGGCACTCCTGTCCACAGACTCCTCCGTGAACATCATGGCAGACAAAAAGCGCAAAGCTACGGTGGGCAATAAGGAGCCCAGAGGCAAGCGGCAGAAGGTGTCCATAAAGGAGGAGAAGGCGGAGAACAGCGCGGGTACCGGGGAGCAACAGAGGGAGGACAAGAAGGAGCTGAAGTTCAACGATAAGCGTCAGCGTTTCATTACCGACACCCAGAAGATCCGGCAGGGCTCTGAGGCTGTGCTGTACTGGATGTCAAGAGACCAGAGGGTTCAAGGTGAGCCTCCATCAGACCAGCTGTTTGACTATTAAAATAGAATGTTAATCCTTGTTGTGTTGTGTTCCTTAGATAACTGGGCTCTGATCCGTGCCCAGCAGCTGGCTGTGGAGGAGAAGCTGCCCCTTCATGTCTGTTTCTGTTTGGTGGTGCCTAAATCTGAGCTGTCCACCCTGAGACATTACAGCTTCCTGTTGAAGGGCCTGCAGCAAGTCGAACAGGTATTATTAACTTAACGTTAAGGTACACTCCCATTAGCTTTTCATCTAGTCAAAAGAAAAACTCTAAACTGGATACAGTAATCCCTCGTTTATCGCGGGTGTTTGGGACCACGCCCACCCGCGATAAGTGAAAACTGTGAAGGAGGGATACAGTAGTCCAAGTTCAGTTCAAGTTCAGTAAACTTTGTCAGGACATGTGCCAGGCTGCAATCGAACTCATCACCTGTTACTCCCAATCTCCCTCCTTAAATAAACTATTTAAATTTAAATACTGTGACATTTTAAATAAACAACCCATACAGAATGGATTGTTTATATTGTAGATATTAAATTGTAGAGAAGTGCAGCAGGACATCAAAGGATGTCGCACAGCTTCAGCTCTGCAGCACGGAGCAGAAATGTACTTACTGATCAATTACACTTCAACAACTGAATATAGAAGTTCTAAAATAATTAAAACATAACTTTTAACACTTTTATTTTGTGATTTTGACGATGTGACATACTTTGAATTTTAAGTTGGAAGACAAAAGTCCCATCGGTGCATCTGGACAACAAAGGGTTAACTTCACAAAGCTGCTGCTGCTGCAGGAGAAATGTGTGTGTGGCTGAGAAGGAGATCAGCTGATCAGCTGCAGGAGGGAGATTTCTCTGCACATGGTGCAAAATCATTTAAAATCATTTATTTTAAATAAACAACCCATGGCTCATCCATCAATCAGCCATTTGTGTCATGTCCAATCTTACTTTGAAAATCCGCGATAAACGAACCGCGAAGTAGCGAAGGACTGCTGTAATGCACTTTCACTCCTGTTAGTGTGAGGGCGTGTTAAGCTTTCAAAGACTGATGATAATCTTGAGCTGACGTACCAAATCATGGGTCATATTAGAATTCTTGGAGTTCTATTATGTAGCTTTCTTATTTAAAAACTTTCTTTATTAAAGTTAGAGGTTGACTTCATTTTTATTTACGTCAGTTCATCCATATATGTACATTATCTTTACCTCCTTCCTTTCTTTATTGCACGGGGGTCACTGGTGTCCATATCCAGCAGTCACTGTGTGAGACAGCCTGGACAGGTGTCCAGTCCATCACAGGGACACATAGAGACAAACAACCATTCACTCTCTCACTCACACCTAGGGACAATTTAGAGTTACCAATCAGTCTAACATGCATGTTTTTGGTCTGTGGGAGGAAACCGGAGTACTCGGAGGAAACCCACACATGCACGGAGAGAACATGCAAACTCCACCCAGAATGGCCCCGGGCCGGGATTTGAACCATGACCTTCTCGCTGAGAGGCAACAGCTCTATCAACTGTGCCACCGTGCCGCCGTTTTGCGTAAACCCCATTTAAAAAAAAAAAAAAAAAGTTCCAACATATTCTGACCCCTGCAACCCAGAACGTAAAAAGTGGGTAAAGATAATAATCGAGTATCCCTTAAAGTTTAAAGAGTCAAAAAGTTTTCTGTCTGTTTGGACTGTGTTGCAACATTTCAGTCTAAACACGACAGATTTAGTTAGGAAGTGTTTTTTCTGTCATTAAGGATCGTGAATCTCCAAAGTTTGAGTCGTCTACTTTCTGTCGTGTCCTCCCCCAAAAAGGAATGCAAAGAGCTCAACATCCAGTTCCACCTGCTGCACGGTGCAGCAGGGGATGTCCTCCCAGGCTTCGTGACTGATCACAGGTTTGGGGCAGTAGTGACAGACTTCTCCCCTCTCAGAGAGCCCCTGCAGTGGTTGGAGGATGTCCAGAAGAAACTTCCAAAGGACATCCCCCTCATACAGGTTGGAGAATGTTATTTTACCAGTCTGAACTGGGAGGATGTGTTTTTGGAGGGTCTTTTTTAATGTCACTGTTAGGCCTTATTTGTTGCTCTCATTACATTATATTTAATAATTTATAATAATAAAAAGCAATATGTAACCATGTCATTTTTATTGCCAGTGTTTCTACAGTTAGTGTGTCCATGAAGTCTGTTTTTCTTTATAGGTTGATGCCCATAATATTGTTCCCTGCTGGATAGCATCACCTAAACTGGAGTACGCTGCCAGGACCATCAGAGGAAAAATCACCAGTGTTTTGTCCCAGTTTCTGACTGATTTTCCTCCTGTGGTGGAGCACCAGTACATCGCTAAAAAGACAGCCAAAGTAAGCTCTGCAGTAACAGACCAGGTGGAAGACTAAAGTCAGTTTCTCTTTTTAGTCTTTGTATCTTTTAGGCCTGAGCTGCAGGAGGACAAGCTGTCAGTGAGCTCAATGATAAGGATGATAATAAGCTCAATGATAAGGATGATAATAAGCTCAATGATAAGGATGATAATAAGCTCAATGATAAGGATGATAATAAGCTCAATGATAAGGATGATAATAAGCTCAATGATAAGGATTATAATAAACTCAGTGATAAGGATGATGATAAGCTCAATGATAAGGATGATGATAAGTTCAATGAGAAGGATGATAATAAGCTCAATGATAAGGATGATAATAAGCTCAATGATAAGGATGATAAGCTCAATGATAAGGATGATAAGCTCAATGAGAAGGATGATAAGCTCAATGAGAAGGATGATAATAAGCTCAATGAGAAGGATGAT